CAACTTAACTATACACTGAAGATTTCAGGAGAACTGAGCCAAAACAAGCTGAAGTGAACATAAATGATGCAACTTCACCAGTAACTGTTCCTTGTAAATAACTCCTAGGACAGTAATAAATAGACAACCCGTTAAGTGTCAAAATGTGTATTGTGAGGATACTAGCAAGCAAGGAAAGGGAGAATTGTTTATAGGCGAGAAAGAAGTCAAGGTCAAATTAGTAAGGATCTTGAAAAAAACAGAATTGTAAGGTGCAAGATAACGTCATCCAACAGTTACAAGTATAAATGCGCAGAAACAGAAGAGTTTGTAAACAACAAAGGGGAAAACTAATATACAGCATAGAGTATCTCAGTAGGTACTGAAAAGTCATTAAAAATGTACATTTTATATCGGTGATAAATGCTGCAAAATTTCAAATACCTGTAAGACCCAAGACAATCTATACGGTACCATATCTCAGTAGGATAGCTTATCTACTTATATTTCCAAATGAACCCAATCATCAGTCTGCACACTCACATCTTCGCATTAAAAAATCTTTCAGAAATATCATTTCCCAGCATTTACATCTCACACGCTGCAGTGGTGTGGGAACAGACATTTTATTTCTACCCCTTTCAGTTGGCTAGCTACACATTGATGTTCTTGCACCGCAATATATTGTTCAACTTCAGTTGGATAAGGTCAATTGTGACACTGAAATAATACCAGAACTGCAGAAATAAAAATAGAATACTTGACAACCAAAAATTACTATGAGATCTACTGTAATTTGTTCCACTGAAGAGGTTGACTACAAAGTAACTCAAATGTCAGTTTCTCTCAAGGTGATTAAAATTCTGCTGATAAGAACCTTTTTTTTTACTAGATGACAGATGATCCACTGCACTTTGTCAAAGACACAGTGCACTTTTAGAGCAGCTTTTGTGTAAAATTAAGTACTGTATCTCAAAAGCATTACAAAATATAATTGATAGAAAATGAATAGGCAAATAAGGCAACTAATCCAGGCCAACAAAGTTCCAGCAAATAAGTAGACCAGCTGATAATTAATTTGAATGAGGTACAAATTTGAGATCAAATGAGGAATGAAAGCTATTTTTGTGAAAGCAGGTTGGTCCATTTCCTTGCACCCGAACAAGGTAAACGTGACCTCAAATTAATAAAACGATGCATATAGAGAATGGGATGATGATGATCTAGATGTAAATAATAAAACTGTATACAATATATAGTAGAATGCTGATATGTAGCCAAACACAGCAGCCAATCTGTGCCAGCTTCATTCACAATAGTGATAAGGAGGGGAGTTTAAAGGCACTGACTAACAGCACAGTCAATATTAATGCTTGAATTTGATATAGCACCTTATCACGTCTTCGAGATGTCTCAAAGTGCTTCATAGAATATACTGTAAAGTGAATTGAGTTTATTTCGGGGGCGAAACACGGCAGCCAATTACTTACAGCAATGTCCCATAAACAGCCGTGGTAGCAAAATAAAGAATGAAGTACAAAACCTCTCCTCCACGAAGCACAAAAATGACAAAGCATTATGCTCGGGTCTTTTGGGAAGGCGTAGAAAGAGCCTAAACAGGATGATTTCATAAGTTAGAATGTGTAATTTAAAATAGGAATCAAATTTGCATTCATGATCAATTAGTAGACTGAGTGAATTTGTTTTAACCTTAGCTCATGAGTTAGGAAATGTAATTCTGCAATCAACGAAAGTGTTTAAATTGGTTTGTTCTATGACATCAATACAGAAAATATTTTCTCTTCCATCAACCAGAACCGTCTTGCAAATAGTAATGGAGTAACCTAACTGATACAACATGTGACATTTATAATTCTGATTTAAAAACTGACAGTGTGACCTGAGACACGGCTGGGATTTTATCAAGAGTGATTAATGTCATAATAACCTTGCGTTTTTCTAAAGCAAGTGTGTTAAAACACTACTTTTTTTTAAAAAAAACTGAAAACTGACCAGATTCACAATGAGCTACCATTACATATAATAACACCTTAAAAATATTCTGTTCCATCTTGCAGATAGAAAGAACTTCTCAAAGTATTTTACAAAGCTGATCGGGTCATGGAGCAGAAAAGGAGTTTGAGGATACTGACAAAAGCATGATGGAAGAGATTTAGAGGGTTTTGAAGACAAGAAAAAAGGTGCAAGATGAAGGGATTTGGGAGTGAATTACAGAAACCAAGGCATTTAAGCTAAATATCTGGGAATAACATATCTGTAAATCAATGTCATATCATACAAAAGAAAACAAAAATCATCCAAATCAAATCAGAGGTGTGTAAAGAATGAATACATTGTGGAGTCAGTTAACTCATTAGATATGTACACAATATAAAATGTCTTCTTACTATAATATTCCAGTCGCACTGAGTAAAAATTGACACAAAAGGAGTCTAATTGACACAATATGAAATAGTAAATACTACAGATAATTTGAATATTTAACCAAAGAGTATGTATGAATCATTATACAGTTTCTACAACTTTATTTTGATAACTGATGTATGAGCTTTTATATTTGCCATGTATCAAGTGATTTGCTCTCTGCAATCCACTCATGATTAATCATCATTTGCCTTCACATCAGCAATAATATTGTCACCTGAAAACACGTGGCTTCACATAACCAAGGCATGTACAATCACTTCCCTCTTGTTTCTCTATTTTACAAAACCTCCATCAACACAGAAAATAATCCTATAAAACCATGACAAAAATACCACTTCCAGAGCTAAATATTTTCACATCTACATACACTGCACATGGATACACCAATCTAAATGTCAGTCTAGTACAATCCATGTTCATAAAAACTGATTACCTACAGTAATTATAACAACAAACTGCATTTATATAGCAGGTTTCAAGTCAGGAGTATAAAATAGATATCTCACCATATGGTTCTCAGAACACTAAAACATTCAATCTATAACATCCCAAACCCCAAATAAAATTAAAGCTTTGAAATCACTCCCTCTGTATCTAATAATTTTCATTGACGTTACATACTGCTGCTTTGGTACAACCACTGTGCTCCATACAACTGCCAGAATATCGTAATTGAGCCAGCACTCTGGCGGTCTCGGTCCCGGGCCAGGAGGGTATGCAGTACTCCAGGGCACCGATGATGACAGCACAGCCACCCTGGCTCATTGGCAAAACTTGGAAGCAAACATGTCACTGGGAGCAGGGAATCATCCAACTTAGCTGCTGTTAACCCTGCAAGGCAAAGCCCTAACGGGGAGGGTGGTCCTAACTGGACACTCCAGGGTCCCCAGGCCTTGACTGTTGCCAACCTGTGTCTAATACTTTCCGGAATTATATAAGCAGGATACATCCCTCCAGGGAGGGCGTGCGCATTCGATTCCATCAATCTATCTCTGGAATTTCCATGTGAGATGGGATGTGTGGAAATCTCAGCTTGGTTTGGATGCTCTTAAGCATGGCGATGAGTTTCCACATGTCAGTCACCCGGCTAACCAAAAAAAACTGAAATGTGAGCCATGCCCACAGTGCTCCACTCACTGATTTACCCTTCTCAGCACGATAGAGGTTCCACACAGAAATCAATCCCTTTACTACATTTGGGGGAGTCGAAAGAAATAATGGCTCAATGGCTTTTTCAATGGCTGCTCAACAAAGATGGTTTTAAAGCAACAATATTTGCGGTTGCAGAGCTGATCACCTACAGATTCTGCCAGGAGTGGCGTATGCACATTATTACGACAAGGATGTGGAACCTGAAGGTGCACCCATCATATGACTTACTATGTTTTTTTTGGCAACATATTACTAGGAAATATCCTACACCCTTCTAAATTTTCTGTGCATTTTGTCTTTTGAACGATAACATAGCTTATCATTGTTTACCAAAATTCTTTGCAATATTTCCTGTGATTTTTATAAAATCACCAAAAAAATAATGAATGACAATTTGCAGAAGCCAGTATTTTAACAAATATCGTTACCTCCAGGGCATGCCACGCAAATTAAGGGGGGGGAAAGATTTTTAATTTGTTGCAGTCAATTGAGGTACATTCCAAACCAAACAAACATAAAATAATTTTACCTATAATTTTAGTAATTCCTTTCATTACTACCCTGTACAGTATTTGCAAATTGGATTTGTTTTTTTGTAACAGATTAACCCTATAGTTACCATAACTAAAGATAGAAATGGCATCGATGATCTTACCATTAATACCATTTCCATCTACCATCAAGAAACGGAGACAAAAACATCAATCTTAAAAACATGGTAAAACTTACTGTCGAGTAGTCATAAAATTACTCTATAGAGTATCGTGCAATTTTGTGGCACTGAAAGTCTATTTTTGTTTGAATGGCCATCTTGCTTTTCAGCAGTCAAGTGGAACAATTACATTTTTAAAGGTAATACTGCAATTTAACAAATACAATAGAGTAAAAAACAAAACCAGTGGGGGGAAACAATGACGTAGTTACTTAGGCAAATCAACTCTGGCCTCAAGATTAATACTTAAAAGGGCTAAAGATACGAAAATACTAACTACAGTACGCAATACAATTCCTGTAAACAAAAAAAATGACTCACGACAAATACTGCACTGAACGTATTGGCAATCACGTTACAACATTAAAGGCACAAAGCCACAACCTCTAGATTTGCGTTTCACTTTTAAATTGCCAATTTTAAAGTATATTTTTACCTAATCGTAAAGCCCTCTCCCCCCCACCCCCCCCACACACACAGCTCGATTTGAAAGGCTGTGCTAACCCAGAGTCAGCTACTGACTTGAAAGAGCGCATTCCAAAACCGGGGTGAGAAAGGGGGAAAGAAATTTGAAAGGTGGAAATAACAGATCTTACATCAAGGTGGCGGGGGGGGGGGGGGGGGGTAAAAAAAAAATACACACCTATCGCCCATTCGGTGAACACCAGAGTGGGTGTGAGTGAGAGTGCGGTGGGGAAGGAAAGCTTACCCTGCATGCAGGTCGTGCTGCTTTGCTGCTGACTGGTCTGCTGCTGGGCTGAGCTGCTGGAGTTGTTGCTGTGACTGGGAGTCGCCATTGTAGAGAATATTCCCGGGGAGGAGGAGAGGAGAGGAGGAGGGGGGGGGGGGGGGGGAGAGAGAGAGAGAGAGAGAGAGAGAGGGCTGCAATGCAGCAACTCGTCTCTCTCTACTCTCTTTTACTTGACCGAAAAGCACTCCACACACTTCACACTCGGGAGCAGTGGGGGTGGGGTGGGGGAGAGGGTTAGTAGTGGGGGAGGGGGGGGGGGAGAGAAAGAATTTCACCCTCTGATGGGCAGCAGGGAAGCAAAGAGGAACAAAACCCAACGACAAGAAATCTCATGCACCATAAGCACCGACCGACTCCAGATATGTTATATATATATATATGTGTGTGTGTGTCTATATTTAAAAACGCGCTTTTAAAATCATATATATTTATAGAGAGAATAAATAAGATGAACCCGAGAGAGAGAGAGAGAGAGAGTGTGTGGGTGTGTGTGTGGGTGTGTGGGGGAGGGAATAAGAAACCCTTTAAAACGAGCGCCAGCGTTCACAAGAGGCGGGTTTCCATTCGTTATTCATTCGCTAATGTGTATATTAAAACAATGAATGTTAACGGAGGGAAAAGGGGAGGGGGGCGTCAGCTCAGCAAAGAGCCATGGGGGGGGGGGGGGGGGGTGTGGGGGGAGACACACACACACACACACACACACAGCCGCGCGGCCTAGCCTTCCCCCCGCAGCCTGACTCGAGTTGAGGCGGGAGCTGAGGTACACCGGGGGCCACCGGAGCGCCGCCAAAATATATATATATATACCCCCCCACCCACTCCCCCTTGTTTTGGTGTGACTCTCCCCAGCGACAGACGCGGCGGTAGCAATAATAATAATAATAAGAGAGAGAGAGAGAGAGAGAGTGTGAGAGGAGGAGAGGGGACAAACGGCCGCTCGCGCTGAACCGTCGCTTATTCGGCGTCAAGTCGCACAGCGAATGGCCACCACCTCACTGCGCAGGCGCCGACCGCCACCCGCCGCAACCGCCACTGCGCCTGCGCCTCGCTAGCCCCGCCCCCGCCCCCCAGGCCGCGCGGTGCCTCCTGGGATTTGTAGTGCCCCCCCCCCCCCCCACGCTGACCCTGGACAGGACCACAACATTCATAATAATTTATTGTCATAATAATCCTTACATTTTGATACAGTAGCGTCTTCTCACGTCTTCGAGACGTCTCATGGCGCCTCACAGGGTATATGTTTGGGCAAACCGTTTCGCCTACCAAACGCACAGTCACTACACTTTACATAATAATAATCCTGGCATTGGATACAGAGCTCGATATGCGTCTTCTCGACGTCTCAAAGCGCTTCACAGAATAGACTGTAAAGTCAATTGACTATATTTGTGGGCGAAACGCGGCGGCCAATTGCGCACAGCAGCGTCCACACAAACAGCCGTGGATTGAAGTGACCAATTTTTTTTTTCTTGAGGGATTATTATTAGGCTCTGTGTGGAGTAAGGAAACTTGCCCGAGGTTTCGCCCTCTGCCTGGAATCGAACCCAGGTCTCCCGCTTGGAAGGCGAGTGCTCTAACCCTTGAGCTACAGGTTACAGTACAGCCTGTGAAGCGTTTTGGGACGTCTCGCTATATTAAATGCAAGGATTATTGTTATTGAAGACAACAATCAGGATCTTAAATGAGTCCAATACCATGGTTTCAACCACCCTTCCTGGTACCTATTTCCAGATACTGTACAAAATAAACTTCCTTGTCACCTCTGAGATGCTACCCTGCCTGCAGGGTGCTGTGTAAATGTACAACAATAACTTGCACTTATATAGCACGCTCCACGCAGGGTAGCGTCTCAGAGCGCTTAAATGTAAGTTGTTTTTTGCCTCTGTCCCAAACCTGCCCTTTAATTCCTGAATTTGTGCCATTTTGACAAGGAAGTTTGTGAAAGGTTTATCAAACAGCCAACTCACATCCGGGCACGTTCATTTTTCTTTTCATTTCAACTTAGACTTTTCTTCTTTATTTGTTAAATCTGCACACGCCTGTACTTACTGAACAATCTGAGCCACTGAATGGCTGTGAGCTTCAATACTGCTACGTGGCTTAGGGTTAGGGAGATTATGAAGGTCCACAGCAGGATTTGAGCTGGCACTTCAGTTCAAGAAATGTCCAGTAATTGTGAAACCCTTTAATATTTTTCAACGTGATAAGATGCTATAAAATGTAATTTTTCAGAGGAGTTTTGGATCAGTTGGATTTTGTGGATGGTGGAGCTGGGGAGACCTTCGAGAAGGGCGTTTGACTGGCTATCACCGGCGATAACAACCATCAACAACAAATTACATTTGTATAGTGCCCTTCACGTCAGAAGGAGGTCCCAACCATGTTCAAATACTGAACCAAAGTTAAATATTTTAAACAAGACATTCATATACATATAATCTTTACCTGTTATTGTTATTTTATTAATACCAATCCTTGCATTTGATACAGCACCTTTCACATCAGGAAACCATCTCAAGGTGCTTCACAGGATTTTTCTGTGTCCTGCAATGGCTGTGTATCTTTTTGGGGGAAGGGAGGAGGTGAGAGGAGGATAACTAATTGATCAGTTTAGCTTTCAGTCAGAAAGCCTGGCCAGCCCTCCATCAGGTGCAGTGAGTCTCTTTCTTGGCTGGTGGGAATCAGGTGATTTGTTGTGACAGAAATATCCTTGAGTGAGGATGTGATAAGCTGCAATCACTGCAACATCCTGCAAGCTCCAGGCAGGAGGATTGCAGCCTGATTTCATCATTCCAAAGTGGCTTCATATTCAGCAAACGGTCACATCACTGCACAGTAATTACATAGGAAAACAGGGAACAGGGGGAGGCCATTCAGATCATAGAGCCTTTGGCACCATCCCATTGGATCTTTCAATCTCACTGACCCTCCTTGTGACCACATTCTCCACCATCACCTCCACTCGGGGGGACTGCATCTGTCATCAGCCTCATCAGCCTCATTATTATTATTATTATTATTATTATTATTATCAGCCTCATTATTATTATTATTATTATTATTATCAGCCTCATTATTATTATTATTATTATTATTATCAGCCTCATTATTATTATTATTATTATTATCAGCCTCATTATTATTATTATTATCAGCCTCATTATTATTATTATTATTATTATTATTATTATTATTATCAGCCTCATTATTATTATTATTATCAGCCTCATTATTATTATTATTATTATCAGCCTCATTATTATTATTATTATCATCCTCATTATTATTATTATTATCAGCCTCATTATTATTATTATTATCATCCTCATTATTATTATTATTATCAGCCTCATTATTATTATTATTATCAGCCTCATTATTATTATTATTATCAGCCTCATTATTATTATTATCAGCCTCATTATTATTATTATTATTATTATTATTATTATATTATTATTATTATTAGCCTCATTGCTGTACTGTCCACCAGTGCCCTCTGGTGGACAAGTGCTGTCACTCACGATTCAGACTGGTGCTGGTGAGCCATGTTTCCATGTTTCCCTGTGGTCCTCTGACTGTTTTTTTAATATAAAAATCGTGTTAATCATTTAATGGTTTCAGTTTTGCATTTGAAGTCCAAGGCTTCGTCACTCCCTCTGACCCTCAGCATTTGCTGCTCTTGTGGAGCTGAGTGGTGTGTGTGTGTGTGTGTGTGTGTTGTGATCGCCCTCTCGTGGTCACACAGCCACGTTACAGAGAGTAGATTGTTGGACCCAATGGCAATGAATAATAATACTTACATTTGACGTATCGCCTTATTTTCTCACACAAGTCAAAACGTCTCAGAGCGTCGCACAGGGTTTACTCCAGCACCGAGCAGTGAGTGGGAACCCGGGTGTGAGTCGATTGGCGGATCGGAAAAGGAGAGACGCTTTTCCGGGGATAATAACCCCTTAAGAAAATGCAATAATAGAGAAAAAAATATTTTGATTTAGTTTTTCATTTGAAGGGATTATTACCCCCAGAAAAGCACTCTGCCAATTGACTAGCAACCAGTTTCCTACTTACTGCTAGAGGCGTGCGTGTGGAGTAAGGAAACGTGTCCATCGTTTCCCCCCTGCCCGGGGAATCAAACCCAGGTCTCTCGCTTGCGAGGCGAGTGCTCCAACCACTGAGTTACACGACTCCACATATTAAATGCCAGGAAAACGCCCAAATGATTACATTTGAATAAGTCTGCACGTACATAAGGACATCATTAGATTAATACGAGAAGGATTCTTCCTGTGCTGTTTGGAATTGTTTTCAGTTTTCCAAAGTGCTGGCCCACTGTCCATGTGACTACATGGTGCATTTCTGAATGAATTATTGTCAGCTTCCTCTGTGTGTTCACTGGCTTGAGGAAATGGAGTCGATTGGGGTGGTCCATCCAGACCTACCGCAGAATCATGATAATTTCCTGATCAATTACATGCACAGCCCACCATCCTGACCCTCCTGACCATAAATCTGACCTCACGCCCGCCTCCAACCTACTCCATAACTCAGACTTGAGTTGGCTCCAAAATAATCAAATATATCAAAAGGCTACGTTTTACATAAGTATTTTATTTTACTCTCTGGTCACCAGCTTTGATGCAGTCCGGGAAAGTGGGACGCGGAGAGCGAGAGAGACTCTGGCAAGTAAAGCAGAAGTAAACAATTTGATTAAATAGTAAGTTTTTAATCTCATAAGGTTTATTTCCCGGGAACAGATGCATCTTCTGATGAGTCAGACTTGACCTCTGTATGTGCATGTTGCCCATATCTCTTGATTGCATTTCTAACAAAAAAAGCATTCATTCCTGTTCAACCAGAGGGAAAGTCTTACAATATTAAAATGTTTGCAGCCATTCTGCTCTTAAGCTCTGCAACTCCATCTTAAGAGTTTTTCTAACTCGTTATGCTCACTGGACTAATAGCGCTCAGTGTGTCAGTCAATAAAAACACTGGATATTTGTGGAAATGCTTAATACCAGGAACAGAAATATACATTTAGACTTTAAGATGGGTTTGCACCTGTTCTCAAACAAGAAAGGATGTGGCAACCAAGATT